AACCTCAATACTTCGTCCAGTATGAGGGTGAAGCAGACTGTCCCCATACCCCGTCCGGTATGAGCGCCAAAATATCTAAAGTCTCAATACCTTGTTCGATACGAGAGACAACGTTTCTGATAGGGTTCCCTATGGACCCGATTCGTCCACCATCTCTCAGGATATCTAGTGAGGCTGTCGATTTATCCGTTCATAAATTCACATATCATCTTTATTTTTTTTAGTTTCAATTACCCGATCAACATGAATACGTAAACCAGTAACGCACACCAAACAATGCAACACAACATCGGGTTCACAATAATTCAAACCATAATAGATTAAACAGTGATTCATGCATACGTAACCATATAATAAATAATTAAATACTATACTGCATTTAGATTGTAAAATACATCAAACAGGAACAGACCAATCAATACATCATGTTCGGGCCCCATTAGCAATCTTAATTAATTATACATATATGTTAATTCATAAAATACCGTTTAATCATTTATTAAGCTTTAATGTCATGATAGAAAATAGAGTGAGGGATCCTTACTTATTTCGGAGTCTGAAATCGGGTTCTCACTGCGCTTACGGGCAGTCCCTAGATTTCTTGAATTTTTTATCTGGAAACTGAAACACTCTTCCGGTACCTGCACATGTCCCCAAAAAACTCCAAATCAGATACAGGGCCTATTCGCCCAATTTTGAAATTCCGACACGGCGGCTCCTCCGTGCTCCGGCGACGACGTCGCCACTTACGGCGGAGATCTGCCCCGGGTTGGCCGTTTCCGGCTGAATTCGGCCAAACTTGCATTGGTTCCTGTGATAAAACACCCGTAGGGCCCTCGGTGGGTCGAAAAAATCTAGAAAACCGAGACTTACCAGCGGCAGAGCTCTCGAGTGCGGCGGCTCCTCCAGCGCGAGTCGCGGTTTGGTGTTTTACTCCAGTCAACCTGTAGAGAAAATGACGGTGGTCATAGTGGTGTAAAAATTACATCGAACGGGAATCGAGAAGGGTCTCATCGGAGGCAAAAATTGAGAAAACCCGCAGCGGTGCCGCTGGGCTTCGGCGATGTTTTCCGGCCAATTGGCCAGTGGTTTAGCTCTGATTTGGCAACAGGTGAGTTCAGCATCAAAAACCGAGCCAAGGGGAGAAATTTTACCTCGTTTGGCGGCCGGAAGGTGCCCCGGTGCGGCGGCAGTGGCAGCGGTCGGTTCCTTTGGTGGCTGGGTTGTCTTCTCCGGCGAGGGTTCTGACGGCTAGGGTTTGGGGTTGAGTGTGAATGAGATTATTTATAACCTTCCCCTTTTAATCTGAGCCGTCCATCACGATTTAATATGGGCCGTCTGATCGTGATTAAATTAGAAATAAATATGGACCGTCCATCGCTATGCGATCTGGGTCGTCCGTGCGTGATCAAATCTGGACCGTCCGCACGCGTGCAATCTGGGCCGTCCGTGCGCGCGTTTGATATGGGCTGTCTGTGCGCGCGGGAACGGATCTCAGCCGTCCGATCGCGCGTACGCGGATCGCCCACGTGGCCCGTTTCGCGTGGCCTTCCCGCGTCAGCATTTTCTACCACACGGCGTGTTCTGGTTGGCCGGAGCTGCTGACTGGGCTGCTGACGTGGCACAATTTTTTTAAATTGCTTTTGACCCCCCGGTTTTCGATTTTTTTTTTCAAAAACACTCCCAAAATCTAAATTTTCACCTCTTTTACCCAAAATCATTTTCAATTAAATTTAAAAAATAATTTTATCCATTTTTATCATTATTATTATTTTTATCTCTATTTAATTAAATTAAAACTATATAATTAAATTAATAAATTAATTATTAAGATAAAATAAAATCAAAATAATTCTAATAATAATAAAAATAAAAATATTTTAGGTGTTACAAAATAGTTATTCATTAAAAATAGTTATTTAATATTTAATAGAGATCGTTACAGAAAATATTATTAATTAATTATATATTTACTGAGAATTACTTTAATTGTTAATTTCCAATAAAGTCAAAATTATTTATATTTTTTTATTTAAATTAATTAAAAGTATATCTTAGTTCCGTTTTAATAAAAAAAAATTACAATTCAGATGTAAAATTACTTTTAAAACCCAAAAATTAAAGCTAAAAACCAAATAAAATACATCCTTAATCTAATAATGTGTTAGTATTGAAGTACTTTGTTAGGTTGAAGGTACTAACTAAACTTAATATTTAATAAAAAAATTAAAAAAAAAAACCAATAATTTAATATTTAGTAGACATTTGGAACAATCATAACTTATGTTGCACGTTTTAAAATAGTTATTAAATAATTATTTATTAAAAATAATTATGTAATATTTAATAAAAATAAGTATAGAAAATATTGTTAATTAATTATATATTTAGTGAGAATTACTTTAAGTAGTATTTTTTAATAAAGTTAAAATTATTTTCTAAAAATTACATTATATATTTTTTATTTAAATTAATTAAAAATAAATTTTAAATTTGGTTTTAATAAGAAAAAATTACAAAATTTTGAGGTAAAATTACTTTTAAAACACAAAAATTAAATCTAAAAACCAAATAAAACATACATCTAATTAAATAATTTATTAGCATTTAATTACTTTGTTAATTTAAGTAATATTTTTTAATAAAGTCAAAATTATTTTTTAAAAATTACAATATTTATATTTTATTTAAATTAATTAAAAATAAATCTCATATTTGATTTTTATAAAAAAAATTTACAACTTTTTAAAGGTAAAATTACTTTTAAAATACAAAAATTAAATCTAAAAATCAAATAAAACATACATTTAATTTAATAATTTGTTAGCAATAAAGTACTTTGTTAATTTAAGTAATATTTTTTAATAAAGTCAAAATTATTTTTTAAAAATTACACATTATATATTTTTTATTTAAATTAATTAAAAATACATCTTATATTTAGTTTTTATATATAAAAAATTACAATTTTTTAAAGGTAAAATTACTTTTAAATTAAATCTAAAAATTAAATAAAATATATTGTAACGGCCCCGGAAATATTAAAATGAAATGAGTATTTAAATATATCAAATGCGGAAGCGAGATCAAAATTTCAGTTAACATCCCTTACACGAAAAACCAAAAACGTACTTAAAATATAAAAGATTAAACTAACTAAGAGAGAAACTCGAAAATAAAACTATGAGCATGACTACAGAGTCTCTAGGCATCCCCTTCGTCGTCCTCCTGCGGAACGGGCTCGGGAACCATGTCTTCCTGATCTGAAATGGTTAAATAAGGAGTGAGCTACACTAGCCCAGTAAGAACATCACGATATCTCACCGTCACGGAGGTAAAGGTGGGTAGAAAAACACAAAAAGACCAATGGAGCATAATTTACAACAAACTCGTTTATTAACATGAAAACCTTTACCATCCACTTACCTTGGTGGAATTTATGAAAACAATATAAGAAAAACAATAACATTATCATAATCATTGAATAATATAAGCTGTAAAACATAACACTTATCACGCCTCTTGTAATTCAATCATTGTACAACATATCATTTTCTCATTTACCAGCCTACTAGTATCCGTGGGGGTCCATAGGGGTTCCGCTACCCGTTAACCTTTAACATTCATAATCAGTTTCCAGGGTCGTCCCCATACCCCGTCCGGTATGGGCGCCAAAACCATGAACCTCAATACCCCGTCCGGTATGAGGGTGAAACGGGCCGTCCCCATACCCCGTCCGGTATGGGCGCTAAAACCATAAACCTCAATACCCCGTCCGGTATGAGGGTGAAACGGGCCGTCCCCATACCCCGTCCGGTATGGGCGCCAAAACTGTAAACCTCAATACCCCGTCCGTATGAGGGTGAAACGGGCCGTCCCCATACCCCGTCCGGTATGGGCGCCAAAACACATAAGATCTCCATACCCCGTCCGGTATGAGAGACCACAATCCCGGTAGGGTCCCCTACGGACCCGGTCCGTCCACCATCTCCCAGGATATCTAATCAGGCTGACCCCCATAATACAATTATCAGTCTACACAATCTTTCATTTTCCTTTTCCCCAGTCAGCATCATCAATTCACATACAACAAGCAAAACAGTAATTCATGCCGAACAGAATACATACAGTATCAGCTTTTCAGTCATTCGACCCATGATTAATAAAAACGTGGTATATGCACACAGATCTGTAAAATGAACACATCAAACCTCATTTTGCATTTAAAGCTGTAAACAGGCTAAATAACAGTAAATCACCAATCACACTAGACTCGGGCTCCATTAGCCACCTTAAGCAATTTCACACATTCGTTAATTTAAGAAATACTGTTTTATCATTTTGAACTTTAATACCGTGATAGGAAATAGGGTGAGGGGTCCTTACTTGTTTTCGGGATCCGAATACGATTCACAGTGCGCCTGCAGGCCGTCCCTAATTTTCCCTGAATTTTTTCCGGGGAACTGAAACACACTAACAGTACCTGCACGTGTTCCAAAAAAAATCCAAATTAGGCCCAGGGCCTCTTTCGGCCCAAATCGCAACTCCGGCACGGCGGCTCCGCCGTGCTCCCAGCGGCGGCGAGTCGCCTCGGGTTGGCTGTTTTCGACCGTTTTCGGCCGAATTCGGCCACACTCGCATTGGTCCTTGTCAGAAAACAACCCTAGGGCCCTCGGGGGGCCAAAAAATCACGGAAAAGCGGAGCTTACCGGCGGCGGCGCTCTCAGGTACGGCGGCTCTCCGGCGAGATTCGTGTTTTGGTGATTCGGCTTCGGTCAACCTGTAGAGAAAAGAATGGTGATCACGGTGATATAAAAATTGCATCGAACGGAGGCCGAGAAGGACCTCGTCGGAGGCAAAAACCGAGAGGGGGCGCGGCGGCGCCGCTGGTCTTCGGCCGCGTATTCCGGCTGTTTGGCCGGGATTTCAGCTTTGATTTGGCCATAGGAGGAATCAGCGTGGAAAAACGAGTCGGGAGTATGAAATTTACCTCGATCGGCGGTCGGAAATTTCCCCGGTGCGGCGGCGGGTGGCGGCGGTCGGCCTCTGGTTCGTCTTCTCCGGCGAGCGGCGGGCGGCTAGGGTTTGTGGTCTGGTGTGGGGGTTCTATTTATAACCCCTTACCTTTTGATCACAGCCGTTCATTTCGTTTTAATCTGAGCCGTTCGTTTTTGATTGAATCTGGGCCGTCCGTGCGATTGAATCTGGGCCGTCCGATCGCGCGATTGATCTGGGCCGTCGGATCGCACCCACGCGGATCGTCAACGTGGCTGCTTTCGGAGTGACGCGGTCTTGCCACGTGGCAGGCCCCGGTTGGCCGGGACTGCTGACGTGGCTGCTGACATGACCCTTTTTTTTTTTTTTTTTTTTCGGGTGCTACATATATTTTTAATTTAATAATTTATTAGTTAAGTTGAAGGTACCAACTAAACTTAGTATTTAATCAGAAAATTCCAACAACAAAAAAACACCAATGATTATGTGGGTTGGGTTGCCAGGGTGGCAGTTAAATGTAATGACATTAATTGGATCATGACTAGAAGGATTTTAGTAGTCAGGACTCAACTAACTTTTGCCCTTTCATTGGAAAAAGGAATCAAATCCCCTGTTATTCTGATTTTCTTTTGTATCAGAAACACCTCCCAGTTGGGCCCCAACTTTATATGTTATATATATATATATATATATTTATTTATTTATTTATTTTTCTTTTTCAAAAAAATTATAATTATAAGTATTATGATGAAGTTGAAAGAATTTAATGATTTTATAGTGAGATATTAATAATTTTGTTAAATTAAAAATGTTTTTGTAGTGTAAATTAAGGAAATAATGATTATTAAAGAAGGTTTGGATTTTAATTTAATTTTAAATTTATAGAAATACGAACAAAAATATTATGCAAATAAAATCAAAAAATTTAAAATAATATTTTAATTTTAAATTACTTTTACGAAAAAATTAGAGTAACGTTTTGTGACGTTTTATATTCTTTTAAGCTGTCGAGTTAGTTATTATTTATTATTTTTGACATTACTCGTCTCTATAAAACGTGGGATGGATCGAGTTCTTTTGCCAAAATAATTTTAAAAAAATTCATTCGGAGAATTTTTAAAGAATTTTGAATTGAGAAAAAAAAATATAAAAACTCTATTAAAAAATACTAATTTTGCTGAAGAACTAATTTTTCTATTAACTGAAAGATTATGTAATTATTTATATTAAGAGTAGAACTGGTCTTAAATAAAATATTTATTAGGTCAAGATCTATTAATTTGTATAAATATTTTTTATCTGTCAGTTAAGTTTCGAGACGATCATAAGATAAGTATTTTATTATAGTCTGAATTCATCTTGTATTTTGATATATAACAGTTTAATGGTCGAATATCAAAATATTTATACGAAAATAAAAAAAAATGAGAAAATTAAATACCATGGCAATATTTTTTTAATTAATAATAAAAATATTTAAATTGTGTATTAAATACAACAAGACAAATATAATTATGAATAGCAATACAAATATGCGAATTATTGCGAAAATATTTAATGTATTTTAAAATGTAATAATTATTTTTTATTTATTTTTAAATATATTAAATTAATCTGAAGCATTTTTTAAATGCTAATTTTAATTATTAAAAAAATAATTTAATTAATTAACTGCGTCATTTCCAACGGTTTCACAACTGCTTATATAGCATTTACCCAATTTCACGGTTTCGTGCAGTGAGATTTTAACTGACTGACTGACTCACTCACTCACTCAGTCACTCACTCACGGCCCCCATTAACTGCACTTTCTCTTTCTCTCAGTTCCACGAAGCTTTTCGCACAAGCCGTTATATAAAAGGACGAAAAAGAACGCCATGGAAATTTACAGCGTCCGTAAACCAGTTCAATCGCGGAAGCAAATTCAACAGTTGTTCGTCGAGGAACTGGAAAAAAGGAGGAGGAATTGATGTGGTAATGGATCGGCTGACACCCAAGATCAGGCATCTTCTTCTTGCGTGGCTCCACAGAACTCGTTCTGGTAAAACTCTATGTTCACCTCGCTCATTTTCGGTTCCGATCCTCCCCCTCATTGGTCAATTGTAGAGTTCTGTTATCTGTAATTGCTCGTTGAGTTGTGATTTCTGTTAAATTTGATGCGATTTATGGAATTCTGAAGTCGAGTTTTTACTTTACTGGAAATTGACTTGGTTAATTCATGGTGGGGTTTGACTTGTCTGGAAATTAATTAATTGGATTTGACATATTTGACATTGATTTAATGCGTCTCGCTTGGTCCTGAATGAATTTTGTGGGGAATTTCTTGTTCTGCGTTTAAGAACTATGGTGTACTTGATTTTAGATCAATTCAACATATTCTGAATCTGAACTTGGAAGAATTTGACAGAGTCATGTGGCATTTTATTAGTAACATTCGAAGAGTTGCAACGTGCTCTGGTTTTTATAACAAGGAAACTCGGCGCTTTATTTTGATTGGGTTTTTAAGTTTTTACGAGTTCTTGGTCTTTGCAAAATCTTTTCATGTAACAAAAAGATAAGAACTGATTCTGTGTCACTGATGAAAAGACTAAATCTTAGCTCAATTCTTTTCCTTCCTGGTTCCGTTGATGCACCAATAAGAATGTTTTGGAAGCTAGAAAAGTAAGGAGAGCAATAATTTTATTATAAATTGAGATCTGAGTTTGATGTCTCTACTCAATTAAGCAGTACTTGTAGCTATCTTGAGTTGTGGACATGGATCTTTATCTAGAAGTAAAGAAAACGATAGAAATTTTATGAAGTATCAAACAATGTAAGGCAATATAATATATCCACCATAACTTATACAGAAGTGGGCAGTCACTGATTCCTATCATCTTGTTACTACTACTCAAATAACAAAAAATATAATCTCTACTGCTTGAACGCAAATAACTTCTATTTTTAGCATCTAGAAGTAGTAGCACCAAGTAAGACTTTTTCTTGTAATTATCTTTAGTTTTCGGAGAGGACTTAATGAGAGATAAAGTGACATATTTGGGGCTAATCTTAAAGTCACCTGCATGAGCACAAGTAGCTGTGGAGTCGATGATCAGCCCACATGGGTTCATATTTGCTGCTTCAGGAATAGCAGAAACCGACTGCTACAATCTATAGGCTCACATTGACAAGATGTCCTGTCTGGTGTCATTGAGTACATGAGGCTGCAGTGAACAGTTCTTTTTCTTTTCCAATTGCTGAAATCTATAAATTTCTCAATCTCAAAACTCGATACATCATATTATATATTTAATTATTAGATCATACCTCTTGCATAGTGTCTCTCCCTTACTTCAGATTTTCCTTTACATTTGATATCGAATTGTTGCAGAAGTGGCCTTCTGAAAAATGTTTGAATTTAAAATTATGTCCATGTAATTAACTTTCAAACATATGTACAATACAAGAATGACTCCACCCTTTAGATTAAGAGTACTATTTTTTAAGAATTCATTATCTCTCTCTACCTGGTTACATTTCTCTCTCAAGACAAGAAATTTGCGCCCGTTTTCTTCAGTTTATTAATTGATATGGTGTCTGAGTTACATTAAATTATATAAAAAATAGTAAAATCTACAAATGGTGTTTCAGGGCATAACCAGACATTTCTTTCTGATGATTAATTGTCAATACTACATTTTAATATTTTGTATGTGTTGTTATCTTAGGCCCAATATCATTTATAAGACAATTTTCTTACAAGGATATAAAGAAAGCGACAGACGATTTTCACAGGATAATTTACAGCAATTCCCATGGTTCTGCCTATAGGGCGAGATTTAAAGATGGCAATATTGCTCTGGTAAAAGAAGTGACAGGTCTAAGTGAAGGAAAAGAAATTTTCTACAAGGAAGTGCAGCTTTTGGGACGATTGCATCACCGCCATCTTCTTGCACTTAAGGGGTTTTCCACAGGAGATAAAAGGTTTTCTGGCTAATCCTTTTCTTAGTTTATCACATATTCTCCTTATTGTGAAATGGACATAGTCAAAGCTTACTCAAGTATTTGTTGTTGAGACATAAATGCACTATCCACACACAGTTGGGTTGGGGAGTCATGGAGGAGAAAGGAACCTAGAATTTCTTCCTGGGGAATAACGTAAAGAATGACTGGGAAGTCAACAATAGGGGACATTGTTACAGCAGTATTAATATAATCAAAGAGAGAAAAATGCTTAATCCTTTTAGATCCCCTACAAACAAGCATGTAAGCATTGTCTGGCCAAATTGTAGACAATGCAAATAGGGATACTTCAAAGTGTTGAAGAGAGATGTCACTCTGAAAATCTCACCGAAGTTATGGTTCCTGAATTTCCAAGTTAGTGTTGCAAAAGTTTGCCAGCGTTTGTCAATCTTACTTTCTCAAGGCTTAGATGACCATATCATTGTCAAAATGAGATTTCTTTTGACAGATTGGCACTAAATGATCCCATTATCGTATGTATGTGACATTTATAATTTCTGGATCTTAGGGAAGAAAGAATGGTTCTTTTAAGCGAATTCTATGGTGCCTTTGAGGTGCTACTAGTAGTTTATGTCAAGATTATTACTGTATAGTGTTAACTGAATACTAGATGACGTTATCTAATTAATATATAATTTTATTGAATTACTGAAAATGGCAAGATTAAAATTAGAACTATGGCGCCCTGTAAGCATCATAGCAAAACTACTCTCCTTTAGATGTTGATTTAGAAAAGATGTTACTCTCTGATGCATTAAATAAATCCTCATTCCTTTGCTCGGCAGGTTGCTAGTGTTTGACAATATAGAAAATGGAAGCTTGAAGGAGCACCTAAATGGTAACTTCAAACTGAAACTTGTGTGTTACAATTTTGATGTTCTTTAAAATAACTAGCATTTGGCAGATCCTCTTAGGACTCCTTTAAATTGGAAAACAAGACTACAGATAGCTGTTGGCGTGACAGCTGCATTGGTAAGCTGCAAATCATTGACCTTATATTCTTATGCATGCATAAAAAAAGATAATTATCAGCAAAGATGAAGGGAAATCACTAATGCTATATTTGGTCCAATCTCGATCATATACCTTCCCTAAATTACTATAAAAATTCGTCATATATAGAACTACATCATAATTGATCTTTCATATTTGATTCACCATTTATTTCAAAAAAAATATTTGATTCACCATTAAAACGAGTTATCCACCTACCATAAATTCTTTGGAGAAGAATTCTTTTATTTGTACTTTACGATGTATGAATAAGAATCCACAAATTATTGAATTGAAAATGGTACTGGAATACCTAACTCCTTATGACTTCTCTACTGTATTCTTCCTGTTCAATGGAACTGGCAATTTTCAACCAGATATTGCCTAAATATATGCTTAGGATTTAAGAAAAGGAAATAAAACATGGGGAAGAAAAGGAAAAGAAAATTATATTACTAATTCAAGGACAAGAAAAACTCTATGGATGGAGTTCACTTGATGAATATTTTACTACTATGGACTCTTTAGCCGCAAGTAAATCTGTATTGATTTTCACTGGAGGTTTAACGTTTCATACTTTTCTTGCTGCTGCTAATATGCTTTGTTACACGTAAGGATATTGAATTTTCCCAGAGTATTTGATCATGAATAGCAGAGGTTGGGTGAAAACAGAGTATAGTATATCCAAAATAGCCTCGACTATAATAAGTTCGAACTGCAGGAATACTTACTTTTCTTCGGCGGCCCTCCGGTGTACCGTGTCTCCATCAGCTCAAGTAATATCATGTTAGATGAGAACTTCATTGCAAAGGTAAGTTCTTTAGAAGCCTTTTTAACTAGGGTGTCTGCTTATATAATTAGTTGCGCATAATAAATTATTTGTTTATTTATTTATTTATTATGTTTGCATGGTGATATACCATTAGCAAATATTTTGGGACATGATGGAAAGAGAAATAATTATTGATTTTCTTATTACAGATCTCTGATGTCAGCCTTAAGAGTTCTGTTGGAACCTACATGAAGATGCCTTCCTCTTGCTCAAAAGGTTTTCTTTTTGCACTATAATAATTTCTAGTTATTCCCAATAATTAAACTTATGTTTGGAGCAAATTCAGAAGTTTTGTTAAATTCATTTTACAAATCTAAGACCTTAGTTTAAAAGAGAGAAAAATTACTTCGTGTAAAATATCATATGAAATTTTTTATATTTGATCTGTACCACTTTTCCTTGAACTAAATATGAATTTGCAAGTAAATTTCGCAAATTTTCTAGAAAAATTGTCCCAAACACTTAACTTAAACTCTAATATTTATCCATCAATTTCTCTCCTCCCAGAATGCATGGATCAGGAATGTGGTAACCTAATATTTCAGCTCGGCGTTGTGATCTTGGAGCTAATAACCGGTCAATCATCTAAGCAGGAAGACAGTGATCTAATCCAATGGGATCAGGGTTCACGCCTCAGCAATTCCATCCATAAGATGATAGACCCAGATCTCGGTAACAACTACGATTCTAGAGAGCTCAGGAAACTCTAGCCGTAGCAAGATTGTGTATAAAATCTAAGGATAAGCCACAACATTTTCTATTGCACAGATATTTCGTTATCTGCAAAAGAAGGTAGATGTTCTATGCGTCTAGTGTTTGCAATATGATAGTTCATTTTATACAATATTTGATCGAGATGGTTACTTCTTTAGTTACAGGATTTTTAGGCAAATATTGTTTTTTCCAATAAGATAATCTTATGATTGATCCAAAATCGAGCAAGTTTCATTCAAATTAATCGCTTTGACTGACTGTTTTTACGTAAATTATAAGTAAAAAAGCAGTAGGATTTTGGGATAGCTCTTGTGGCTAGCTCTTGGTCGTTTAGTAAGGGGATGGGTTAAGGAAGGGAGTCTCCCTCGGAGCATTTAGCAAAATGCCAGCAGCCTGGTGAGGGCTGGCTGTCTGGGGACAGGGTAAGGCAGGGCCCGCTGGTCTTGCTCCTCATGAGATTGAGTGAGGGAATTGGAAAGGGGCTCATAAACTTCATTCAGACTGAACTTATACCTAATGGTGCTTGTCTGCTCCGGCCCTGATCTCCAAGAGGATTATTTGGCTGTAGACTAAGTGAATTGCATTGTTCCTTTGGTGTAAGCAGTTGTTGTAATGCCTGCGAAAAAGATTGTTGGATTCTTCTACAATCTTTGGATAAGTAGCTGAGCATTACAAATTTAAACAGCAGACAGATCTCAAACATTCGTAATCAAAATTGAGAAAGCAAAAAGCAAATTGTATTGAAATCATCATATCACTGTCGGGGAAAGCCATTACAGAAGCATCATTGTCAACAAAATCAACTTCCTCCAGAACACCTTTACCCATGAAGTTACTTCTTGCAAACAGGCATGCAAGATACCAGACTTCCCAGTTTTAAGTTTTACTCACAGTTGCTAACTACTCTATGACAAATAATTTTCTTCATTATCGTTTACTGCTGGGCACACTGGACACGCTGGGCACCACCATGTACCTCTTCGTCTTCGTCATATGCCTCCTGCTGAGCTTGTTGTTGCTTCCTCCGCATCTCCTCTTCGATGTTCACATCATGCAGTGTGGTCTCCTCACATTCGTCTAGCTCCATGTCCGTCATCTGACTCAATGGCCGCGGTGGCAATACAGCCTCTAGTGCTTTAATCTGATCTGGGGTGAGGAAGTCAGGGAAGTCTACGGTGAAGTGAATGTACAGCTTACCCTTCATGAACGGTCGTTGGTACAATGGCATTCCCTCTTCATTGATGGCCTTGAATGAATCTGTCAAATAATAATTGTGAGTTCAATTATCTCAAATTGAATATGCATAGAAATTATTAATAAGTCAATCAATGCATAGGAGCATTCGTACTAACCAGGCTTCACAACTTCCCCTGGGTTAGTTTTGATTAGAAGCTGCCTGCCATCCAAGTGTGTTAATACAAACTGGAAGCCACACAGTGCCTCTGTGAGACTCAGTGTGTGCTCAAAAAACAGGTCCTCTCCCTTTCTCTTGAACTTGGGATGCTCCTTTTGTTGGAGAACAAAGACTATATCTCCAGTCACTGTGTCAGGCTGTGTTAAAACACACAACAGAAAATAAAAATAAAAAATTCAGAGTAATATTCAAGAAAGTAATAAGCAACCTCTATGGAAAACCCAAGACTCAGAATCATACCGCCTCATCTGCTTCTCCAGGGAATGTGATCTTCTGTCCATTCTGCATACCTTTCTCCACAATCACCTCAAGCACCTTCTTCTCCAGGACTACTTTCTCTCCCTTGCATTGTGGGCATCGATCCTTATCACTTATGATCTCACCAGTGCCCTTACATTCATTGCAAGGATGCTGCATTTGCTGAATCATAGAGGGTCCAAGATGTCTGATGGAAACCTTCATACCAGAACCCCCACAACCACCACATTTTGTTGAATTTCCAGACTTGGACCCTTTGCTGCCATGACAAAAATCGAGAGAGCATAAGTATCAAAGATTATCAGGATAAAAGTGACAACACAGAGTAGCAAATACTCACCCATTACACTTTGAACATATCACATTGCGGGAAAGGGATAGTTTCTTTGATGTTCCAAGGTAAAGATCCTCCAGAGAAACCTTCAATGGATGAACCACATCTTCACCACGTCTCTGCCTTCTTCCTCTGCTGCTGCCACCTGCACAAGGAAAAGACTACAGTCAAGGACCCAGCATAATATCCGCACAACTTTTGATGACTCAGTAGCTAAATCACCATGTTGCTATATCAAAAGCTCAAAAGAAATATTAGAAAAAGTTGGAAGATGACGATTTCTACCTCCAAATGGGCTTCCACCAAAGAAAGATTGGAAGATGTCAAATGGGTCATGGGCAGGACCACCACCACCCATTCCTTCCTTGAGTGCATCCTCACCAAACTGATCATAGATCTCACGCTTCTCCGGGTCACTTAACACTTCATAAGCATGTGCTAACTCTTTGAACTGCAATACAAGAGCAAAGGTTTTTCTTTAAGTTCTAGTCAAGCTCAAATTCAGTTCTGTGAACTGCATAAGGTCAACCAGGTTATTGCCAATGCATGAAGAATCTAACTTCCCAATACCAAACAAGAGTTATGAATCACTACAATATTAGTTCATTCGCTTGCAAAAGAGACCAATTTCCTTCATCCTAAATTCTAGTTAAGCTATCTTCCTTGAACCAAACAAGAATAGTGGCTCATTACAACATTAGTTTTCTCATAAAGCATCAAGACCAAAAATAAGAGTCCAGATAAACAGCTGTTTGCAGCATTAACCAGAAAAATTAGGCAAAAATCTAATCAAGGATCCAAAAGAAGATCATTCAACAACCAAACAATAACCTCACAATAAACAGAGAAAAACAACACGTTACTAGAAATACAATAGAAAATCATACAAAAGGAGCAATCCAGTCAATCACAATTCCACAAAATGCATAATCAAAACCCATTGTCACACAGAATTAAAGACATGGAGCCGAAAAACAAACCGAAATAACCAAGCAGCTTAAAAGGTTCCAATAAACCTCAAGAGACAAACGAACCTTCTCAGGATCGCCACCTTTATCGGGATGGTTCTTGATAGCAGCTTTCTTATAAGCCTTCTTCAAATCCTCCGGTGAAGCGTTTTTCGAGACACCCAAAATCTCATAGTACCTGGTGTTGTCGCTCTTCTTCGGTCCTCTACCAAACATCTTCTCCTCTTTTCAGCACCTCCAACCTCTCCGAATACCAAATTTATGGAAATTCTTTGATCGCTCACAGCTGATTTCTCTCCTCAATGGAGTTCTCAGGACACGCCAAGAATCAGAATATTTGAGACGAGTGGGGAAGATGGGGGAACCCAGGTATTTATTTACGAAAGGTCGGTTTGATGATTTGATGGACGGCTGAGATTTCCTGTTTAGGTTTCTAACTGAGAGAGGAAGGCTCTAGAATTCTCTCTCTAAAAGGAAAGTTATGGAAGTTGAAGCTCTCGTTGAATCTCAGCCGTCGGATCAGCACTTCTCATTTTATTCTAGAGCCTTCCATCAAACCGTTGATTCCCTTTCTCTTGGTCAGCTTTAGTCTTCGTCTTCCTGTAATTTTCTTTTTTAATTCTTAATAATTAATAATTCTGATTAGGTAATTACTAATCGTCATTTTAAATTGTAATTACAAAAGTAAATTAAAAGAAAGTCTTAAAATTTGAGTCTAATTACAATTTAATCCATTATTTTAAGCAAATTATAATATATTAATTGTATTTTATTAAATTCAGTTTTAAAATATAAATTAATATTTTTTTTTCTCATGAAGACATGTCAAAAAAGTAAATAAAATTAATAAATTTTTCATTAACTAAATTCTCTTCTCATTTTCGATCATGATTTTTTTTTTCTTTAAAATTTATACATTTTTATGCGTTAATTTTTTCGTTCGTAATTATTTTTTTAAAAAATAATTTGTAATTTAATAGTAATTTTAATATGTTCAATTTGAAAGTAAATTTAATGAATCTTGTTGTAATTAAATTCAAAATCATAGTACCTCCTTATGATTTGTTCTAATTAATTATAATTAAAACTATTATGGCCAAAATTAATTATTACAAATCTTCTTTGCGTGAAAGTATACACAAAAACCAAATAACTTGTTCGTTAGAAATTCATGGTATTAAATATTATCTAAAACCGGTTATTCAAACACTTAAAAGTAATATTTATAAATCATTACGTTCTTAACAATTAAATAACATTATCTATAAGAAACAACAATTAGAGAACTGATAAGTAGAAAAAATCTTATGGGTGAACGCATGGTCCGTCGTGTAAAGACACGTCAAGATATTCCCTCACAAGCAGCATATGCCATGTTAATAAGAATATAAGTACGAGCTTACTCGTAGTGATGCAACCTTTTAGAGGAACCAATTTTTTGGGAGTTGTTTTAAATGGAAGTACCTAATCTTGACTTGTCACTCCATGAGTTCTAAGTAAACTATCGCCTAAAGCACCACTTAGAGGTGGTTATTGGTTTAAAACTAGAGTAGATAGATGATTTGGTAAGAATAATAGATTGAAACAAATATTGAACTGAAGGACGGTGGTTTGAAATAAAGATTGAATTGAAATATATGTAGATTTTTTAATTTGTCGATTAAATATTAATAATAATAATGATAAATAAAACTATTTTTATTTCAATTTTGTATCCTTGATCCCATTTTGTAAGGACCCAAAATGTGAGAAATAAAATGATACTGAAATTTATTAATATGTGGAAGCGATTTAGAATTTATGGTTACATCATTTGCACAATTTGATTAAAATGCCCAATAGAATTACGAGAATGTCATTGAAGAACATAAATGAAGATGTGTGATACGGAAAACCTATGTGATTAACTTCCGTTGCGCAATTGGAGAAACGTGAGACAAACTTCTAGCTAGTTTTCTTACTGCTTAAGATGCAGGTCTTGCTCGTCATGATCTAAAATAGTTAACAATAAATGGATAAACTACACTAGCTCAGTAAGAATATCAACACTTATCACCGATATGGAAAATTAAAAGTTTGTAGAAATCATAAATTTCTTAAGTAAATTCATTTAACTGAAAACTATTTATTCTACACTCACCTTTAAGTTTTAAAATGCCATTTATGACGGAAAGAACTAGAATAATAATTTTCATTATATATTTTAAAAGACCAACAGTTATCAACATTTACCTTTTTACTTACTTATCAGTGTTGTTAGGGGTTCATAGGGGTTGTCACTATATGTGGACCAAGTATCTATTATATTAATTAATCAGTCGTCCCCATACTCCATTCGGTAATGGGCGTTAAACACACTACCGCTTCAATACCCCGCCCGGTAATGAGTGTAATCAAACAATTCCCAACCCCTTCTTGTATGGAATTCCTCAACCTCGTTCGACTGAGATAACGTCCACAGCAGAATTTACCCTATATACTAGTCCGTCTACCTTTTTCCATGACATTCAGAAACCCCTTTAATTTTACGACATTGCATAAACATACAGTTTCATTACCATCTAGCCACCGAATACGTGCGAC